CGAATTTCATCATTGTTTTGTTGAAAATTTGGTTTTATATGATTTGTGTTGAAAATCCGAGTTTTTTATTCGATTTTGGTTACGAATCTAAGGTTTTTTGGTTCAATTTGACTTATAGATCTGAGATTTTGATTATTTCTGGGTTAATTTTGTTTTTTATGTTCTTCTTATTGATCTAGGGTTTTGACGTTTTTTTGTAAAGTTTTTTTACAGTTTTTAAAGGTTTATAATATTAATAAGGTTTATAAAATTTTTTAACAGTTTTTAAAAGGTTTATAAAATTTATAAGGTTTATAAAGTTTTTAAAAGGTTTTTAAACACACTTAAAAAAGCGTTAAACAATCTAGATTAATTTTCTTTTTGATATTTTTCTAAATGATGTAAGGTTTTGACGTTTGTGCTAGTGTCATCTACACTATGTATCACGATCCGGATTTTAAATCCGGCACAATAAATTGTTTTAAAATTAATACAATACTTATTCTCTAATCTATAGAGACATGACTTCATCTATATGCCTTTAAATATAATACCTTTCTTTTTGCAAATCCTTTAACTCTTTTTGCAAATTTTGTAACTTCTGTATCAAAAAAAAAGTGCTATAACCAAAACAATGTTGCAAGATAAAACGAGTTTAGAAGATGAGAGCTAGATGGAAAGATTTGGTAACGATGTTGCATCATTTTTATTTTAACAATATTGTGAATATTGAGATGGTTAGATTTTTGGGTTCTGGCATGACCCACTTATATAATTGTAGGTTCCACTATTTTCTCTTGTCTTAGCATAATGATGAAAGAAGAAGGTTGCTTTGATTAGAAGACAGAGCTTAACGGTAACTTAAGTTTACATGATTAGAGAGATTAAATGATTATTTTTGTATTGGTTATTCGAAATTATTTTGTACGTATTTGGAAATGTATCACTCAACTGTTTTAATAACTAAAAGTATTTTGGAAAAAAGAGAGACATACGAACCGTTAAATTGACTTCAAAGAGAAGGAAAATTGATTCAAAAGCAAATGAAACCAACTTTTGTTGGTGCACTTCCACACACATTTGTTTTTCTTGATGAGACAATGATTAATCTTGTGTCATAAGGAAGCTACTTTAATCTTGTTCATTTCTCCAAAATTTAACTTAAATATCAAACCTCAAAAACTCATGTCTCTCTTGAGGAACAATGGTGTCTGCAACAACAACCACCACCAGAACTGCTATTTCGCGGTTTCTCGTGAAATGTTTCGCTTACTCTTTCACTGTGTTCTCAATGATTTCAGCAGTCACTGACCCTCGTGATGGTATTCTGATTTTCCCTTGCATTGAAATTTGGTCCATGGAAATGATTGTAATGCTTCTTTGATCTTTGGATTTTATTAGCGGCGGCTCTTCGTTCTTTGATGGATCAATGGGACAATACGCCTCCTAGTTGGGGAGATTCTGATGATCCTTGTGGAACTCCTTGGGAAGGTGTCTCTTGCAATAACTCAAGAATCACTGCTTTGTGAGTGTTCCTTAATAATTTACTCATTAGACTTACTTGTTTTGGTAATGTACTAAGCAAGCAAGTCTTTTTTTGTTCAGGGGTTTGTCAACAATGGGTCTCAAAGGAAGGCTTAGTGGTGACATTGGAGAACTAGCTGAACTAAGATCCTTGTCAGTCTCTTTCGATGAATTTATCGATGAATATAAGATAGGATTGTCTCTTTTTTCTTACCTGAATTGGCGATGTTGCGTTGTTTTCAGGGACCTTTCGTTTAATCCAGGGCTTACGGGGTCACTTACTTCCCGCTTAGGAGACTTGCAAAAGCTAAACATCCTGTAAGGATCTCTTAAAAGCTATCTTCTTGTTCTTTATCCTCCTATTATGTCAATCTAAACAGTTGTATTGCGTTTTTTTTTCAGTATTCTTGCTGGTTGTGGATTCACTGGTAGCATCCCAAACGAGCTTGGCTATCTCAAAGATCTATCTTTCTTGTAAGAACCTCACATCGATACCACCGTGTATGTTATCCTTGAAGCCAACTCATGTTTCATGAGATTTTCCTACTTTGGTTCCATTATGATTCCTCAGGGCCTTGAACTCGAATAACTTCACCGGTAAAATTCCATCGGCTTTAGGAAACCTCACCAAGGTTTATTGGTTGGATCTTGCGGATAATCAGTTGACAGGACCCATTCCAATTTCATCAGGCTCTAGTCCTGGTCTTGATCTTCTTCTAAAAGCCAAACATTTGTAAGAATTTCCATTACACTTCTTCTTCAGCTTCAACGATCTCTCATCTGATTGCAAAATGTTTAAAACTTGTAGTCATTTCAACAAGAATCAGCTCTCAGGCACCATTCCACCAAAACTTTTCAGCTCTGAGATGATACTGATCCATGTGTAAGTCAAAACACTCTTTAATCATATTGAAACTTCTGCTTATACCTTTGAAGGATACTCATCAAAACATATTTGTTTCAAATGTTAGACTATTCGATGGAAACCGATTCACAGGGAGCATACCTTCCACTTTAGGACTTGTTCAGACACTAGAGGTTCTGTAAGTAACTTACCATCTCTTTGTCATTAGTTTCATAAAATCTTTCCCTATACTCAAAAAGATTAACTCTCTTGGATTTGCAACAGTCGGCTTGACAGGAACACTCTGACCGGAAAAGTTCCAGAGAATCTCAGCAATCTCACAAACATCATTGAACTGTGAGTGTAATCAATACTAGAAATATTCACAGATATATTCTAGGCATTGCTAATGAATGAATACATCTTTACTTGTGGTTCTCAGGAACTTAGCACACAACAAGCTTGTAGGATCATTACCAGATTTGTCAAACATGAAGTCGCTGAACTACATGTAAATTACTCACCAGAGAATGTCTTTGTCTACAGTTCTGTGTTTGTGTGTTCTGACAAATGTGATTATATGTTACAGAGACCTTAGCAATAACTCATTTGATCCATCAGAGTCTCCTCTCTGGTTCTCAACCTTACCTTCACTGACCACACTGTAAGTTCTCCTCGGTTACAGTTTACGAAAACTCGCGCATTTTCTCATGAAGAAATCTCTAAACATATCTTCTTTTTATTGGTCTTAGGGTGATGGAATATGGAGCTCTACAAGGACCACTACCTAATAAGCTCTTTGGATACCCACAGCTTCAACAAGTGTAAGTTCCAGCTTCTAATCGCTATTGAAATTAGTCAACAACTTCTGATTTGGATTTTCACAGGAAACTGAAAAAGAATGCATTCAATGGAACACTGAGCTTGGGAGACACAGTAGGTCCACAGCTCCAACTCGTTGATCTGCAAGATAATGACATTTCCTCTGTAACACTTAGCTCTGGATATACCAATACATTAATGTGAATATCTTCTTTAAACTACTGGTAATTAACACTTGAAACTGTTTCTAGCAACTTATTATAGAAGTTTTCTCTTGTTGTAGACTCGTAGGAAACCCGGTATGCACAACAGCTCTTTCAAACACAAACTACTGTCAGATTCAGCAGCAACAAGCCAAACGAATATACTCGACCAGTGTTGCTAACTGTGGAGGAAAATCTTGTCCATTAGACCAAAAGATAAGCCCTCAGAGCTGTGAATGCGCTTACCCTTACGAAGGCACACTCTACTTCCGAGGGCCTATGTTCAGAGACTTGTCCAATGTGAACACATACCATTCGCTTGAGATGAGCTTGTGGGTGAAACTAGGACTCACTCCGGGATCGGTGTCTCTACAAAACCCTTTCTTCAACAATGATGATTATCTTCAGATACAGTTAGAACTTTTCCCATCTACTGGAAAGTATTTTAACAGAACTGAAGTACAAAGAATTGGATTTGACTTGAGTAACCAAACATTCAAACCTCCTCCTGTGTTTGGACCTTACTATTTCATTGCATCTCCCTACACTTTTCCAGGTAACATGTTCATAAACACTCATATGCCTCTTTTTGAAGTTGAAATGAAGGCATTGGAGTCTAACAATCTGAAAACATTTTGTAGCTGAAGGTAACGGACATTCATTGAGCTCTCGGATGGTCATTGGGATAATAACTGGTTGCAGTGCTTTAGTCCTGTGCCTTGTTGCGCTAGGAGTATACGCGGTTTGGCAGAAGAGACGCGCAGAGCAAGCTATTGGTTTGAGTAGACCATTTGGTAAGTCCAATGTTTTAGCGGCTGCATTATAGTAGAAACAATATAGAAATCTCTAGAGAAAACAATGAAGAAAAACCTAAAACTACTCAGATTGTGATACCAATTTAGATTAGTGCCTCAACAAAAAGAAGAAACTTTACATTAACAGTAAACTTGAAGATTAAGATATTAGATTTTACAGTGAATCTTTTGATTCATTACAACAAATCAATCAGTGATTTTCTCTCAGTTTCATGGGCATCGAGTGGAAAAGACAGTGGTGGTGCACCGCAGCTGAAAGGAGCACGATGGTTCTCTTACGAGGAACTCAAGAAGATCACAAACAACTTCTCCATGAGCAGCGAGTTAGGTTATGGAGGTTATGGAAAGGTGTGTTTCTCAGAAACTTGAGGAAAAATGCTTTCATTTTCAAGCTTTGACGAATAATGCCCCCTCACTCTCTGGTGTAATATCTCCATAGGTGTATAAAGGAATGCTTCCAGATGGACAAATGGTGGCAATCAAAAGAGCACAACAAGGATCAACACAAGGCGGTCTCGAGTTCAAAACAGAGATTGAGTTACTCTCTCGAGTTCATCACAAAAACCTCGTTGGTCTTGTCGGTTTTTGCTTCGAACAAGGCGAGCAGATTCTAGTCTACGAGTACATGTCCAACGGATCACTAAAAGACAGCTTAACAGGTACTGCAAAATCTGATCTCTTAGCTGTTCAAACACACAAAAACACAAAAACACAAAACTTGACCATCCATTTGTTGTTAGGACGAACTGGTATCACCCTCGACTGGAAAAGGAGGCTACGAGTGGCGCTAGGATCGGCAAGAGGACTAGCGTACCTCCACGAACTAGCGGATCCACCGATCATACACAGAGACGTGAAATCAACAAACATTCTTTTAGATGAGAATCTCACAGCCAAAGTTGCTGATTTTGGTTTGTCTAAGCTGGTTTCGGACTGTACCAAAGGACATGTTTCAACACAAGTCAAAGGCACATTGGTAAGTTCTTAACAATGATTCAATTCATACATATAAATGCAAAAATCGATGAAACATTTGTTAAATTTGGGGATTTTTGTTCAATGTCAGGGATATTTAGATCCAGAATACTACACAACACAGAAACTTACAGAGAAGAGTGATGTGTACAGTTTCGGTGTTGTAATGCTTGAATTGATCACTGCAAAACAACCGATTGAGAAAGGAAAGTATATTGTTAGAGAAATCAAGCTTGTGATGAACAAAAGCGACGAGGAATTTTACGGATTGAGAGATAAGATGGATCGTTCGTTGAGAGTCGCCGGAGCTTTGCCGGAGCTTGGTCGGTATTTGGACTTAGCTTTAAAATGCGTTGATGAGTCGGCGAGTGAGAGACCGACGATGAGTGAAGTGGTTAAAGAGATCGAGATTATGATACAGAATTGTGGAGTTAGTAGTAGCACCTCCGTATCTGCGTCGTCTTCGGCGACGGATTTTGGAGGAGTGAAAGGAGGAGGAGTTAAGGTTTTGTACGGAGAGAGTTTGAGGAAGAAGGAAATAAGAGAGGGAGAGTTTGATTATAGCGGTGGTTACTCTGTTCCGACGAAAATTGAGCCCAAGTAACAATGATGAACAGTTTAGTCATCATCTCTTGGGTTTCTGCTTTTATAATCAAAAAAAGAAAGAGATTAATTTTGGATTGTTATTATTTTTGCATGAAATTTTTGTTGTTATTGTAAGTTTGTAACTATAATATTTCATACTCTTCCTAAATGTTTTAAAAGCTTTATTACCAAAAAATCAAGGAGGGTTGATGTGAAAGCTTGAATTGAATTCGGAGAAGAAATTTTTTATTATAAAAAATGTTTATAAATTCGATGATAAAAAAAAAAGAGTAAAGTAGAATTAGATTTATATTGATATGAATCGAATATACAATAATATCTCGAGTGAGGTATGTTACAAACTAAAATGTAGTGTTTAACTCTTGCCTCTGTGAAAGGTTGGCGAAATCTGCTTGGATTTTATATATTTATAGTTCAAATCAGCTATTCGATCCAGCTCCACGTATTCAGGACGGTTTCGTGTATCTCGAGCATGTTATTGGATAGAAATGTTTTTGTGTTACAAAATAAATAGTGGTATAAGTGAAACATTTAGAAATTGATGGTATATGTGATGGATGTTTTAGGGAATTTCTTTTTTTTTAAAAACATATCTTAATTAGAGCCGTTGGGCAAAATGATTTTTTTTTTGGTTTACAAACTTAGGCCATCCCCAACGTGACGGCATATGTTTTTTTGTTTTCAAGTTTTTATTGTTATACATTTACAAATAAGTAATTTTAATATATCATTTTAAATATTGCTGAATTGTTACTTTAAAAATGTGAAAAAGATTTTTAACTTAAAAATAAATATGCCATCATTTTTATTACTAAAAATTATAACACAGTCATTTATTCATAACTATTAATTTTAATATTTATAGAATATTTAAACTAATACATAAATTGATTGAAAAATAAG